ATATGAATAATTGTCAGCACGAGCACGTGCACTTGTTAATTTGAAATGGAAATTTGTGGAGTGTATGGTTTCGCGCCAGACGCAATTGGGTTGGTAGCAATAATTTTCAGAAAATAGATTTCCACGAGGTAATGACAGCAACTGAAGGAGATATATGTTACAATCAAATTAAGATCAGTTCATTTAGCAGTCAGAGTTCAAATTATATATATGGAAAGAGAAATGTAGAAAGAGAGAAAGAGAGTAAAAAGAAAGAGAGAAATTACATGACTTGTCCTAGACTGCCTGGCAGGCGCAACAAGATCACCAAAAAAAAAAAAAATGCTATCGGAGAGGGAGGGAGGGGACCCACCGCAGGAACGCAATTGTTTTGGCGCCTCTTTTAGCCCGCGTCCACACGATCATCGACGTCCCCACAAAATGCGCCCACATTACTTGAAATCCTGAAATGTCGACGTCCACACGAAACTTGATTTCGACATAATATTTACACCACAGTTAATTTTGCAGCGTTAATATCTTTATTTGAATGTTGTTTTTTGGGGAAACCATTAAAATGTATAAATTGACAAATCTGATTTTCACAATTAGTGTTTGAGTTCTGTCTTCACTGAATTTCTAGTCGTGCTTTAGCTGTTTAACACGCTTAAACGGAAACCCTACGTGTATTATGCGAGTTATTTCGACACGTTATGTTCAACAAAGATGAAGATCTTTTCTCGACAAACAAAATCTGGCAAACTCGCAAAAACTTCACAAACAAATGTGACTTGTTCTTCAAACTGAACACCTTTGAAAAACACGGAAAAACTTCGCACTGCTAAAAAGCACACGCTCGCATAATTTAGTGAAAACAGAACCTTTAAATTCCTTTAAGTATAATAAATAATTCACAATTAGCATTTCATTTTACTTCAAAAATATCTCTATATACAAAAATACAGTTAGGAAAACCTTGGCTAACACGCACAACTGTATCATATCTGTGGTTACATTGTTTTCATTTTCTTTTTCAACCGTTGCTATGAACATGAAATGATTATACATATGCTTCGTGGAAAGTGAAACACTGAAAGACTAACAAGGAAGCAGATCCTCTCTTAAACAATATAGTTATTTTTAATTACAGTATAAAATTACAAATCGCCATGGCAACAGCATGTCTAGGAAGTCTAGAGAACTAAGCTCCCGACTGTGACAAAGGCATACATTTTTTTCTTAAATTGAATTTTTCCATCGAGGCAACTCGACTACATTTACCAGCCACGGAGAGACTTAGTGATTATTTGCAAATACTAACAATATATTACATTAAATTGACATTCTTGCTAGCTCAAGTGCGTTGTGGAGTATCGTTTGACTCTTTCACTCTCACAAACACCAAAAGGTATAAGAAAAATAAATTTCAAACTTCAATTTGCGAAATAACGTTAACTAAAACGGTGCTATATGAAAGTACTGCTCAACAGCTCTATTTCGAATGGCCACACACTGGAGTTTTATCACCTTCCACAGCTTAATAAACGATACTGCATGAAAGTACTGCTCAGTACCTTTTTAACAGCATTGTAAAACCATTTTACAAGGAAATCATGCTTAAGGTGGCTCAAAACAGTTTCCAGCAGTTAGGTTTTAATGGGTCATGATCACCAGTCTTAATCACTTAATGCTACAATCATGGTATCAAAAAACTGCCCAATCATTGGTGAACCCTACGTACGGATTTTTTTAAAACTTTGTCAAAAGTTGCGTCTTATCATGCTTATCAAACTTTGACAATGTAAAAAAATTTCACCGCGCTGTTTTTGAATTATATGCCCCTAAATCTGTAATCAAAGGTTGTTTTTAGCAGGTCATACTGTTGCTATGGTAACCTATTGTGTCACGAAAATGATAACAACGTGTTCACCAATGATTGGGCAGGTTTTTGACACCATGACTGTAGCATCAAGTGATAAAGAGTGGTTATAACGACCCATCACAATCTAAGAGCTGGAAACCGTTTTGAGCCACCTTAAGGGCACAGAACTCTTGAGGGTGAAAGTTTCAAAACGCAACTAAACAGCTCTTACTTATTAAATTTTAAATTACCAGCTACCGCCTAATTTATGAATGAAAACTTTACAAACATTTATGTCTACACTCTAGATACGGTGTACAATTCTGAACGTACTACAGATCGGCTATGTCTTGGTTGTTAAACACCATTTATAAAACTCTACACACGTTTGTAACCCTTTTAACCCCAGCTGTAACTTCATCTTATCTGCTTTAAACATGTTAACGTAAATTCAAAAGAGGGAAATGAAAAACTTTATCTCTATAGGCAGTTTCAAAGTTTCTCCAAATATAATAACAAATTCTCTCTCTCCCTCTGTTACTTGCACAAAATATATAAAAACAGAAACGAGACTTATACTAACTTTGGGGTGTAAAGATATAACCAAAAGATTGCTTAAAAACATAAAAACGTGTTGTTCCATTACTTAACAACCAAGAATGGCTGAGAACTATGACGTCAGCAAAATCTTTTGCTTTCTGCGCAACAGCAGGTTACGTATAAAAATAATGGCGAAGTTGTAAATTCACTTCCTAATTTAGTTTTTATGTAAAGTAGTGTCGTATTCACTCCAAGTAAGTGCGACACCCAGTGGAAATTGTTTATATTCAAGTAAAATGTGATATGTAACTTTTATTTTGGTATCTAGAGGAAAAGTCTATGTTTTTAATACCATTCAACCTGTATTATTGTGGTGTTATATGGGTTATTCGTTCCACGTAAATTCCCCATTAACCGAGTCCATACCTCGGTTTCAGTCTGTACAAATTAAACTTCAATTGCTACTCAACAATTTGACACAAACCGCCTAATCCTCTTAGTAGCTTCCGCAAGAAAACTTCATTCTCGCACGTTATTTTTTCTTTTCAAACGAATTGGATAGTTTCGATGTCTTATGCACATGTATTTATATTTTAAGATCACGTTAACTCGTAGATTGTTATCTACATTAATGCTTAACGTAAATTAATTCTTTTCTACCGCTTCTTCTCAGTAGAGTAGATCGATATAAAAGAATCCGTGCTGCCTGCAGCCAAATGAACCTGGAAATTACGGAAAAGAAAAATTACAACGCTGCCTGACAAATACCTTCGAAGTGGTTCTCTTCTCTCGTCACGCAATATTCACGGCCAAGATTGCGTGACGCTCAAGGCAACGGTGAAATGTATGCTGCTGTAAAGTTAACCACAAGACAACATATGAATTAATCCACTTACCCTGTGGGGGTGAAATTCAAGACAACTGATGGGCCCAATCCGCTGGCCCATAAAACCGTCGTGATATCGTATGGTGCTCAGATTTCCGCCGTCTAAGTTGTACACTTTGATCATCTGGCTCGCAGAACCACTACGGGGAAAACATAGAATTATAAAGTAAAGGTCTGTTTCTGTTATCTATTGCTTTCGTCTGACATTCGCCACTGAAATGAACCTGGGGCAAGTCTCGTCTCGCAGTGGCTTGTGGGACCGTTATATTGGGGTCAAAACAAAATACGAGAAGCTATACTTTCTCCGGTAACGATCCCACAAGCCACTGCGAGGTGAAACTCGTCCCATATTTCTTCTCTATTTTAAAGTGGCGAATGTCAATAATAACGAGGAGAAAACGTCACTAAGCGCTACTGGGGACAGCGACAAAACCACCTCTCGTTAGTTTTGTTCTGTTTTTTTCCAGGATTTGTTTTTGGTTGGATAAATAAATATCTTAACTGTCGCGGTAAGAGCACAATCAACTATTTCTTTTCGACGACTTACTGTTCTCGGCAAAAGCTGACCTAAATGAAACACAAGACTAACTCAAATTTTAGCTTAAACTACCGACTTTTGAGTCCTGCTAAACCCTAAACGGATTTTCACAGAGAATCAACCAAAAACAGACTTGACTATTGAACAGGTGAATAGGTGAATACATTTTACTTTATGTTTTAGCCTCCCCAATTAGTAGAGCACTTGTGCTCAGCTATTAAGACTGAGACTTAAATAAAGTTGGCATTCATTCATCATTCATTCAAATTAAACCATAACAAACACCGTCAACATCAGCACAACATCAAACCAGTATTGGATCAACCTTGATACTACTCACGTGGCAAACACTTTGGCTTGATGATGAACCTCGAATGCAGCCGAGTTCCCGATAGTTTCCAGGGTCCGCACGGATTCCGTGAAACGAGGATCCCAGAATTTGACGTCTCCGGCAACACTGTGAAAGACACAGACAACGGGGATCATCAGGGCAGCGTTAAAATTCTCATAACCTTTTTTGGCTTCTTCTACCATTATCCTTAGGAGAATATAGTTTTCAATTAGGGCTGTTGCTATAGAACGTGATCTGTTTCTTCGAATTTGCTACCACACCGATTCAGAAAATTGACTGGGCTAATTACAAGCAACGTTTGATTTGCACGTGGCAAAGTTTAGTCTTGAGGAGTTGTCTTGACTTGTAAAATAGTTGATTCGTTTGCCAGGGTTGCTCTATAATCTTAGAATGTTAGAATACGTGGAATACTGGAATGCTTCACCACTACAATCTATGTTGGAGTGCCTCTCCCTTGCTTCTTCCGCTTTCTTGCAGAGAAGAATGGCTGAACCGCGAGACGATGTAGTCCCAGTAGAACAGCAACCCCTACTTTACGAAATGTTTTGCAGGCAAACAAATCATACCTAAAAGCTTATCATTCTGATTCTCAGCTTCAAACACAGACTCACAGACTCGGGGAAGCAGTACCCTACTAAATCTGAAGAGCCTTTCATCAAAATGCAAGCTGATATTAAGGCGCTTGGTGTAAAAAATAATTACTGTCTAAATACAGGAGCAGAAGCAAACAAGACTGAACCTTTCACCAATTTAAAACAAGTTATAAGCTTACCTGCCACTGATGATGTTACCGTCCCCACCCTTCGGAAGAAAGACGCCCGTCACCCATCCAGCATGCTCTCGGAGCGCCATCACTCGGCTGAAACATAAAGATGTTACTATCAAATCTCTTCTGCATTAACTCAAGAAGCTCCTACACTGCTTGGATGACATGAAACTCATTCAACAGTGATTTGATTTTGTGGAAGAGAGCTCGAGCTATGGCACAACAAATCTGAAAGGGATTTTGCGTGATGACGACCAGGATGAAAATGGAATATGGACCAGCTTAAAAGATGTATTAAGCTTATACACTGAAGTGACTACAGTACCTGTATGTTAACGCTTTGGAGAAAATATCCCTTAACAGGTATTGTATCTTAATGTACAAAAAACTAATTCTAAGAAAAGAAAAATATACGACGTGCTCGAGGGCTCCAAGTCAAGAAAAAGTCAAGAAAATTCACAACGTGAAGTTTAACTACATCATGTACATAACCAACACAGATCTACGCAGTTGTTGGTTACCTGTCACTCGGCGGCAATCTTCTATCAAACAGTCTGACAGAGCCGTCTCCACATCCTGCTATCAATAACGACCTGCCCACTGAGTCACACGCTAAACTGGTCACGCAACTGTCAGCACCTGTCGGGATGTCCTGCAGACGAAATTGGACATAAGAGAACTTTTACTTCACTTTGTTTCTAAATGCGATTAAAAAAACTTCGACGAGATCCCAGTGAAACGGTTGCAACGGAGTTTTCCCGCCAAGTTGTGACGTGCCCGCCACAGCTCCCAGTAGTTTCCCGCCAAAAACTCCGCACGTGTTAAACAGTTGAAGTGTTATTTGACACTCAAATCTCTCTGATTAACTTGAACTAAACATGCTATGTAGTACAAACTATTTATTATAATGGCCCTTAAAACTCTGGAGATAAAAAAAAAGATGGGTCTCCCCGATCCATTGTCGTTACACGTGCGCGAAAAAAAAACTAACTCTAAAACCAACTCGTGAGGGGTCCATCTTAGCGGCAGGCATTGCAAAACTCGGACCCTCAAGGCACCCATCAGAATTGTCCTTTTCATCTTGGACCAGTCTGCCATATAATATATGTAATTCTTACCTGCATTCTCATCTCTCTCTGTGTGTCCCAGACTCGAATGAATCTGACGTCACCAGATGCTAACAAAATGCCCGTCTCCTGTTCCCAGCATACGACTAAACCCGAACCACTTCCTGTAAGAACAGCATCAAACAAGTTGAATGATTCCGATGGCCTTAAAATGACTAGTCTACATACGGAGACCGGACTGCCGTCCGTTTATTAAGTAGGTGGAAGGTGTGTAGGAATTACATTAAGAACAAGGACTAAATGGGGGATACAGCCTCTCTTACCCAGTTGCCAAACATATAGAGTAAAAATACTCGAAACTATAGCGACCTTAAGTTTTCACGCATCACACCATCTAGCAAACTCTTCGTCTCGAGCTCAAACCGAGGCTCATGCGTACCTCGAGTGGACGGAAGCATTCCAGACAGCGCTTGCCAGGCTGTCACCATTTCCAAACTCTTGTCACTGTACGTCTCGCCCTCAAGATTCCTCCACACACGAACTGAACCATCATCTGAAAACAATAGCGGAGAGACAAAATGAAAAAAAGAAAAAAAATCAAACGTAGAAAGAAACAACAACAACAACAACAACAACAACAAAACAAACAAAAACAAAAACAAAAAAGTTTTGGTTCTTACCGGTTCCTGTTAATAAAAGTGTCAGGTCGTGCGCATTAAGGAAGCTCATGCTTGTGATGCGAGACACTTTGGGGTTATTGTTGACGATGTAGTTCATTCGAACCCCGTCCTCCCAGTTCCAGATACTGCAAAACAGAAAGTAAAACTCATGTAATCATTTACATACGATAAATACTTCAACCCTTCTTTCATACTGATTATAGCATTTTGTAAAGCTTAGCTCTAGTTTTTGTCACAATAAATTGTTAGCATTATTCTTTAATACTGATCGTATTTTTCAAGTAAAAATCAGTATGAGTTGGACGTTCCATGACTTTTTGACTCAACCTCTCAAGCACCGCACATTCGCCATTTTATGGAGTCTGAGAATATAATTTCCTCATTCTCTTCCAACTCAGAATTTTCCTTTTATTATGGCGCTTGAATAAAGACTCCTTTTTTTTTTTATCTTTTAGCTCATACCTTTACTTCATTATCTCTTTCTATAAACAAATTGAGAATGACCGAAGAGCGGTCGAAACGTTGTTCGGAACTTTTACCACTATTTTTTTTACCGCAACTTGTTACAAAAGACCGTTACTGATAAGGGCCTCAAAAGAGAATTGGTAAAAACTAGCAGAAAAGGCAGAGAAAAACTACTTTATTGGAGGTAAAAAGGAGGTAACCGTAGTCTAACATGAAGTTATCGTTTTCTCCTGCAACATCCTGAATGAACTATCAAGGACAAATCACGTGAGGGGTTTAGTGCAATACTTACCTCACACCACCCCTGTCAGCAACTGCTAGGTGAGGCTCGTAAGGATGAAATCTCAACACGCCCGGAGCACTGATGTTTTTGTTGATAAATATCTGGTCGTCGACTTTGCCTGAGGCCGAGAGTACAAAAAATACAAAAAACATATTGGTAATCATTCTTTTGCCTGCTTGTTTCAAAAACAAACAAAGAGACTGTTTCAAAGAGTGACCTATCCAGGAAGCCTGTCTACAGCGGAGAGTGGAGTGAGGGGGGAGGAGGGGGGGAACTGGGTGTTGTGTGCCCTCTGTGAGATGTCGAGCACTGTTGATGTCTTGATGGGCACTGCGNGGGGGGGGGGGTGGAGTCAAACGTATGTTAATTTAATGAGACTGGCGAATGTTCCACTTGGTGTCCGATTTTCTGATGCAGTGCGTTTCAAAAAAGGGCCGTTAAGCCACTTTCAACTTGTTAGTGGGCCATTTCCGATTTCCCTTTTGCCTCGGTGTCAAAACGAGTTTTTGTGCGAAACCTTCCACATAAAATGAGTTCCGCCTACATGTTCATTTTCATGCAAATCAACTCGTTTTCATACGAAAAGTTTTGCACGAGGACTCGAAAATGGCCTATTGTTGTTGACCTGTTTTAGCTTGTTGCTTGGCCGCCTCTCGCCGTACTTGTGTGTTCCTTTCAAATCTCCACTCTCTTTCAAGATGCAGCTGACTTTGAGGATCATGTTCCTCAGGAGGCTGCAAAGGGAAACAACTCCATCAAAAACATAAAATATTAAAAATTATTATATGGAGAAGAGTGTTTTACTGGGAACTAAACCACTCGTAGATTCCATACGCCACTTCATCCGGGACCCGAGTGGCGTATTTTCCGTATGTCACCTTTGTGAGTGTCGTATCGTTCAATGACGGCACGATTCCCGCCTTTTGCTTTTGTTGAATTGGTTTCAATATTTAGTCTCCATATAATAATGTTCTTGCCACTCGAACATAAAATTCATATCTTCTCGCCACCGTGTAATATCCTCTATGTATTTCCTTTTCAACAGGCTTTCAGCAATCAAGGAAACCAATCACGTTTTTTAAAAACCTCCGCAAAAATTTTCAAGGAGTTTCCTATGAATTCATCGATCAAAAATAAACTACCCCGACAGCTGTCACTGACGTCAGGTATGAACAACACATGTTGCTAAGCGACTAGGTTGCTCAAAATAACGCAGGCTCCGAATTTGTCAGAAAGGGCATTTTCAACTAAAACTCAAGGGTTTCTTACGGTCGGAGAAAAACAAGAGAACTGACTAGTCTTACACGTAACGAATTACCAGAATTGAGGCTGCTATGAGTGCTGTCTATTGGCAAACCTATTGCATTTATATCTGAGTTTTACCTTCATCACAGACTGAGCAAAATAACTGGCACACCACTCGGCAAAGTTAGTGCTGATCATGGGAGGTTTAGAAGAGCCTGCGTCTTCGTCAGAATCTTGGTCGTTGTCTTCGCTCGCGCTGCTTGGCTGTTTGTTGTGCTGACAAAACGAAAAGTTCGTTTATTTATTTAAAGGTTTGTCTGTGTACGGCTGCGGCAGCTATGTGGCTAACAGTACTGAGCCACGGCAGCGACCTGAGCAAAACAGTGGCCAAAGGCGCACGAGCTGGGGGAGGGGGGGGGGGACTAGGGGGACTGCAGCCACCCCCCCGCCCCAGCTAATTATGTGATTTTTCGGGCAAAACGCTGATGATTCGGGGCAACGACACTTGAAAGAAAACATTACAAAATAGTGCTGTTGGCGTGATTTCAAAAACTCGTAAATACAGTTTCTAGTTAGGTACGTTTTTTAGAATTTTTTCTTTTAATAACTTTTAGATTTTACTCGGATTGAGACTGTTGATAGAGTATGATTGATTGATTATGTAAGCTTTGAACATCCATTTTTTGGAATTATCGCAGTTTCATTAGATGTGGGAATTGTGAACTTTTTTGTTTTTCATGCAATTTGAGTGCGTTTGCACCCCGATTTTAACACTCACGTATTCGGGCATTGCGTAAAGTTTTTGGGCAAGAAGGTCACCATTCCCCCAAGTCCGAAGATGCCCGTACGCCTATGAAAGTGGCTAAGATGTACCTGCATAGCGTGAATATTTGTCGTTTTTTTTGTTAAAATCTTCTAACTCTACATCCGTTAAGCAGTAAAAGAAAGGTAATCTATAGCAGTAATAATGTTCATTCGGCCTGATTTGCTGACTTCATTTTTGATAATGGTGCTTGCTAACTGATTGAACCCATGTGGCCGAATAACCGCGTATCCATGGCGCCGTGTGCTCTACAGCTACTTTTTCTTTTAGGTACCCTTATCTCAAGAAAAGTTCGGAGTGCCGGATATGCCGCAGTTAATACCACAGAAACCACCTCAGAAATAGATAATATAAATAAATACTAAAGGTTTACTGTACCTCTGGACCTTTGTCAAACATTTTTCGTTTCGTATGGAACTCGTACGAGTGAGGAAATACTGCCCCTAGGGGACCAGGGGTGGGCGCTTTAGCCTGAGTCGAATCACCTTTTATTGAACGAGGCGTCTCATTAGAACTGCCGTGACGGGGAGGCGACATGCCAGGGCTGAAACAGAAAACAAAGCACGTTTAAAAAAAAAAAAGAAACAAAACAAAACGAAACAAAAAAAAAGTAATGATAAAAACATGGGCAGCTTGGTCAGTTTGTGTCAATGAATAACCGAGTTGAGTTGGATTTTTCTCCCATTCATTTGTTATTCCCGGAACTGGCAAGTTTCGCGATGTTAACATAAACTGAGGTTTCGGATGAAGTTTACGGCAAACGGCTAAATAAATGAAATATGTGTTAATGGACATAGCTTCAAGTCACTTCACTTCACTTACTCTGAGCCTGCGTGGTAAGGCATTGAGAATCTCCCGGGTGACGATGGAGCTGATGTGGAAAGGTTGGAAGCTGACGAGGAGATCCTCTGGGGACAAGCCGCAATAGTGGCCTGAAAAATGGCAACATTTATCACGATAAATTTCAGGTATCAATCATATAGTTGCTACGTGTAGATAGAACAGTTTTCATTTAGAGTGTCGTAGTAAAGGCTGCCGCACACTAGCCAATTTTTTGTCGCGACTAACCGCGTTGAGGCTTGACATTTCTCAATTGGTTGGGGTGCGCGCGAGCGCCGACAAATTGTCTTGGTCCACCGCACACTAGCCGACAAGGCCCGGCAAACCCCGATCTTGTCGCAGACTTGTCTGAATTCACCGCACACTAGCCGACAAGTGAAGATTTTTTGTCGGCCGACAAAAAATCGGCTAGTGTTCGGCAGCCTTAAGTTACACGTTGTTTTGTTTTGCACTAGTGCGCCTACACGATTGGCTTAAAAAAAATTCGCGGCACTTTTTCATCCAATCAGAGGTAAAACCAAAATCAATCGTGACGCACTCGCACACATTTCCCGCGCTTCGCGTCAGCTACATGCATGCGTTCCGAGTTTTGATTGGTTCACTGGATACTCTGTGTGCTTTGTGAGTGATTACTTTGGCTTTGGATTTACAACACTCAATGGAAAACCACTCCAAATCTAAAATCTAAATATTGTTTCGTCGGTAACATCCAGAGGACATCACGCCAACTCTGAAACAATAAGAATAAAGTTTTTTTTGCCGCTGGCTTGCTACAGCAAAACTCTTAGAAATTTCTCCGTCGTCGTACAATTGAACCTCATGTCTTTTACAGAAATTAGGGGAAGGTGTCCGAGTAGATGGTAAGTTCCATTTCAGTAAAGATACAGTTCACAGGACTGCACCATATGGAAGCTGGACTATGCGGGTTAAAGACTTCCTTTAGTACGATCGTAACTAAATTACTAGAACTAGTAAGTTTTCATCAGTCAGTCTATCCTACCTTTAATGTTATGCCATTGACTATCTTTTTGGCGATTTCAGCAACACCCACAAAAGGATCGACGGACAGATTGAGCAGAGCCTACAATTTGTAATCATAAGTTAGATTTAACTTGGCAAATCTTTCATGACAAATATATGCAAGCTAGGAAGAGAAACCCCTAACAAAGATACTACATTCGAGAGAATATCAGAGAAATCATGAGCTAGTCACCTTAAATTGTTTTGATTCCTGATGACCGATGTGTGTTGACTCATTAAATCTATTTTACAATTAAATTATGAGCTTGAGATTTTTATCGCTTGATAGCTGATGAGGTCGCGGCCCGAGTCAACTATCATGCATAGAAAGTGAGAGCGAGTAATCTAATTGCTTTACTCTAAATCTCCTGTTCGTTCAAAACTTTATCTAAATCCTTTTCAGAGGCACTTTGAAAACGCAACGAAGCGGCAGTCATTATGTTAACAACCGCACACTGCAGTTGACTCTGATATTTTAAAGACCAACCTTCCAAACGTTGGCATACACATTGGACTGGAAACTGGAAGAAAGTGAATTCTGGGAGGCAGACCGCCGCAGATCTTTGATGCTTGAGACAAGTTCATTACTACCAGAGCTTCCACTACTACTACTGTATGTCATAAGAGCAGGCGCAATGTGTTGACCTACAAGAACAATGTTAAAACATCTATTCAATAGTAATAAAATAACCTTGATCCATTGACTTGAATTATGGTAGACTACGAGTAGTCCTTCTTTCGCTTAGTCCGTCCAGCGAGACCGTAAATCGTGAGGCTATTTTTTTTCTCGCGATTTTCTTTCGCGTCACGCACCACGGACAAAGTGAAAGAGGGACTGCTCGTAGTCTAGAATTATGGTAATGTTCTGTTCACAGTGAGGTTCAATGATGTTGTGGAGACCACACAGCACAGCTAATCTGTCAAGTTAACGTAAAAACTGCATCGGGCCAAATGGTTCATACTACCAGAGCTTATCCTGGCTTCTGTAGCATGAAGCAACTAGAAGTATTCCCATTATCCCTGGATGAGCTATATAGGTATGTGCAACCCTAAAGGGTAGGGTGTTTGAGCAATTTTGGTCATAAATAGGGTATCGATTTTGGCCATTTGGATAATGAATTGCACTCTAGGCTTGACATGTTTTCTTTTTTTTTTTTTAAGGAGAAGCTACTTTTTCATCATTATCAATAAGCCCATCAACAAAAGCCCTTCACAAATTATGTTTATGACAATTTAACATTGATCTGGAGTACGGAACTAATTTATAAGGCAGGTCTGCAACAGAGTGGCCAAGGTCATAAATAGGGTAGGGAAAATTGCAGATTTTGGTCATAAATAGGGTAAGGGTTTTGAGAAGCGGGCTGCACACCCCTAATCAATTTTTCTGGGAGTACCCCCCCCNNNNCCCCCCCCCCCCCGGCATTGAATACCCCTTTACACACCTGGGTGGAGACCTGGTCATTAAGAGGTGCGGCAGAAAGGATTTTTTGCAACCACAGAAAACAAAATATTTGACGTAATTTGTAATAACACAACGTTAAATTATGCTAACAGTATAGCCACAGGTAAAGCAGTCTGAAAATAGCGCCGCAGATGATGCATTCTGATGAAAATCGCTAAAGATGGTCACAAGGGATTAATGGAGTAACATTTTCACTTCGTTTAATGGGGACTTCTATAGGTACATGCAAACATGTTCATAGCAAGACAACTGTATTGAAATACTCACCACTGACAACAGGTGGATTGGTTGCAAAGTTGCTGAGATGAGATGTTGAAAAGCTTGCACGCAGTCCCCTAGAACTCTTCCTCTCACTTCCAGGGATTGCGTTTGTTACACCTTCCACACTTGATGATGGGCCGGAACCTACGACAATCCAGCCACTGGGTGTGATTGCTGCTGCAGGGGGTGCATTTTCTCTTTGGCGATCCTCTTCAAGGAATTGAAGTGCCACTACACCAAAGTTGGTTTCAAACTGCATCACTAGGCCATGGAGACCAACTACCAGTTCCTGAAATAACAAAGGAAAGCACATTAGACTGAACCTTAAATTCTCAGCAGTAATTAATTTCTTACCTCTCCATGGTTTTAAGTGACACATTGAAGAAAACAAGGCATGAAAAACTATTACCTGAGTAACTCACAATAGAACTATGAGTAATATTCTGTGGTAGTAATGCTTACACTCAAACATATGAATGTTTTTGACATGCTGTCACATATTCCATATATGTCAGGTGACTTTGATTGAGCTCTTGCTTTTACAAAAATTTCAGCGAGATGTAGTCAAGCCAAAACAATCACAGTGAGACCAAACAACTCTGATAATTATGCTGCTGAACATGCCAAATAGGTATGATTAGGTATTTACTGCGCCGACAATATCAGGTACATCAATATCTCAGGAATCACTAGGACTGAACAGATAAGGTTTATTATTGGCTAATTTGAGTACCATAAGGTGTCATAATGAATAGTATAGCAGATGCTGCAGTTTAACAGACTGACGTGGCTTCCTAGAAGAAATGCCGAGCTTACGTGTAGAGGTATGTGTAATGTTGGTGTATCGGTGGGGTTGAAATCCCTTTCCTTACTTTTGTTTTTTCATGCTACAGTACACAACTTATGTATAAAGTTGGTGTACAATAGGGTTCAAAAGTCTTTCCTTACTTTTGTTTTACGAGCTTGTAAGAGGACCTTTTACTAACATTCTTGACAAAAGGGTCACTTGTTTTATACTGACATACATGTTCATACCTTTCTAACAAGCGGACTTCCATCCTGAGACAACTGTGTCAATGTCATTGCCACTCCAAAATCAATCTGATTTGCTTGGTCAGATCTATCTCCAGTGTTGGCTATAAATCTTCCTAAAGCAAACACTGCTGCAGCACGAACCTTAAAGAATTATTCAACAAATGCAATAATATAAAATGATATAAAACACAGTTAATAATATTAATTTTACTACTTCACACTGGGGATATATCTGACCTTGTCATGGTGAAGCTTGCCAGTGATCGTGAGAGCTACAAGTATGCTGAGGCGTAGACCCCTGGCCCCAGTTATTTTAAGGATGGATAACCCTATCCACTGGATAAATCACTATCCAGTGGATAGCGTGGTTCAACACTTATCAACACTTATCTGCTGGATAGCAATTTACCTGGTGGATAGCATCATCCACACTTTGAACAACTGGGTCCTGGTGATTCAACCATGCCCAAATTGGTGAAGGTGGAGGCCTAATAAAAGCCTAGCCCCTGACCCTCCAGGTCAGTGTTTGAGTGTGGGCCAATTCTTTCACACTAAAAAAATGGCAAACAACTACAGAAACCCATTGGGCAGGGCTCAACTTTCAGGAAAAAATCTTGGGGCTAGCTGGCCCCTAAGTTTCAGTCAAAAGCGGGAAAAGTGAGTCACCAGTGAAAAAAAATTACTCACATTGGCGACCCCAGCTATCGCAACGTTGAGCTCTGTTGGGCATTATGTTCCATGTGGTGTAATGAAACGTTTTTGGACAAACTATATTTTAATACACACTGGTCAGTTCCAGAAAATATCCATAACCACCCAAAGAGGGATTGTTGGGGAATGGGCCCAGTCTCAAAAAGCCAAACTTTTAAAAGGAAAGTATGAACCAAAACTGGAATTTCTAGAGTGATGTGGGAGTGGGGTTGTTCAAACCAAAAAACCCTTGTGGGAGAAGTATGGACATTTTCTGGAACTACACATTATCTCGACCCTCACCTCTGGCAATGGATCAGACAACAGACAGTACAGTTTGTCTGGTGCACTGTCCCTCACAGCACACCACCTGGCAGCCTCGTAATTGAACCACACCCTGCCAAGACATATAGCCAGCCACTGCCGCAATGGAGGGTAAGGATCTGTCAACTGCTCCAGACAGATGGCAATCAGGTTGCCTTGAACACAAGCTTCCTGGGAATGAAAACAAAAAACAAAAAACAACAAAAAAAAAAAACAGCATTAAATGTACTGGAGGAACTTAGAAGACAAAGCCTGAGAGTCAATTAATTTTAAGTTTGTTCAGATACAGATTATTGCGGGAGAAAAAAGCAAAGTAGCTTTCAACCTACCACACAAACACCGTACATGTATTGGTGAAACTTAGGAAGCAAAAACTAAGAGGGTATCAAAAGTCTGTTCCAATAAAGTACATGTATATCGTGGGAGAAGGGTGGGTTGTGAGATTAGCATGAGATTACAGTAGCACCTTCAAGTCATTACAATATTGATTTGATTTCTTAAAATGATTACAGTGTAACACTTATCTTGTACCACTGTAACTAGTAAAAAGGTGACCAAATGATTGTAATGATCAGAAGGATGCCAACAACCACTGCATTAGGCACTATCACCTTGCTCAGTGATTTCACAAATCCTTGTGACTTTTACTGTATCCTCACTTCTTAAACAAAGCTTTCAAATAACAATACATGTAAACTATTGCACTCACTTGACCAATTGGATATTCATTCACAATGATTGACAACACAAATGCTGCCATTGTACGCTGCTCAGCCTAAAAAAAGAAGAAAAATGTATAAATATGTAATGGAGTAGTGGCATTTAAAACCCAACCAGTGTTGACAAGGTACACCCAGCAATAAGGCTGACAGAGTGGCTTGAAAATACACACCATGTATAAAGCTGAATTTGACTTACCCGCATGTATGCATCTGCCAATACAGATAAGAAATATTTATGACCATTGTCTTTAACCAGGTCTGCTTGGCAATTTTTCAAACAAACAAACAAACAAACAAATCAAATGCAAATGAATGTTACAAACACTACCTTGTTTTAGTTATTATTATTCTCTATTGTCTTTGTACATTGCCACTCATAATCCTTGACCACTTTGTGAAGGAATTTGACACCAGAGGGAAGTGCAACAGATCTAGCTGGATCAACAACTAGATTTTAAGTTGCCATGCATCTGGGCAGTAATAGATCACAGACGTCAAAAATGTGGTAAGAACAAAAAAAAGGAACATAAGCTGTTACACAAGGTGTCTCTGATGTTCTTATCACGTTTGACACCTTCTGTGATCTATTACTAAACAGATGCATGGCAACATGGAATCTACTTGTTTATATAATAAAGAAAATTGATAACGACATCTTCTATAGCTATGCCTCGGTTCTGTGCTCCAATAGATCATAAGCAAGAACCAAACAAATTGCAAATCAGAATAATTTGAAATATTGTATAACACCACATATGCACGTGCATTATACATCAGATTTTGGAGGTCAAGGGTGAAAGGTCTTGTCCACGACATTGTGCTTGCTCTCAAGCAAGACTCTTTCCTCCCTCAACCCCTCTCTCAAACCAGGAGTGTACACAACTCTACACTGGAAAACTGTTGGTGTTAAATTAGCTTTTTAGCAACAAGCACTGGGTTGCTCCCGGCTCATAAAAGTCACTTACACTATCAACAGCTAGTATCTTTGCCCAGATGAACACCAAAAGAGGTCTTAACTCCCTAGCTGAACTCTGAAGAAGTTTGAGCACATATGGAAAGATGCCAACAGACAAAGCCTGAAAAAATAATTATAATAATAAAAATAAGAACAAATTAATAACTACACAAACTTTTCCCACAAATTCCTATTGTTTTTTTTTTAACCGTTTCAGCCAATCAAAGTCTGCAGCTTGGATGAAAATTAATTATAATCAAACACCCACTTGTTTCCCTCTCTTGTTGTGACTTCATTTGCCTTAATTCCTTGTTTGTTTGTTTTGTAATGAATACATTTTCATTCAGAGATGTGACAAAAATAAAGGAAATCATCAACTAAGAGAACAAAAAACCCCTAAAATTAATATAGCACTAAGCAACAAGAAATTTGCTGGAGACTGAAAGCTTTAAACACTTACCAAATTGACAGCCCAGGGTCCTAAATCCAAGAATCTGCCGAGCAGATCCAGGGCTCGGAGTCTGTGCACTTGACTCAAAAGAACCTGTAGAACTATTGGCAGCTGTTCAGGAGGGTCGCGGTCTTCTGCACCCATGGCCAGCCATACCTGGAATGCTGTCAATTGCTCTGCGAAGAATGGACTATGCTGAAAGATAAATTAAGGAATATATGATAAATTAATAAAGATGGTGAATTTTACGCTTGGTAATGAAATGTGAAGGTGAATTAATCAGCATGACACGAGCGTGAGACAAGAAAAATTCTGAGTCCCCAACAGGAATCGAACCCATGACCTCCCGAACACCGGGTGGGCACTCTATCCACTGTGCTACGAGAACTCACGGAGAGCAAGGTCATTTAACTGAGTTCATATATGACAGGTGTCCTGTATACTGCTAGGATCAACACTATCAAAGTCATCGTGAGTAGTGATAAGTTAACAAAGATGGTGAATTTTAAGCTCGGTAATGAAATGTGAAGGTGAAGTTAATAAAGATGGTGAATTTTAAGCTTGGTAATGAAATGTGAAGGTGAATTAATCAATGACGATTTATTCATGTTGATCCGTGTTGATCCTAGCAGTATGCAGGACACCTGTCATATATGAACTCAGTTAAATGACCTTGCTCTCCATGAGTTCTTTTAGCTCAGTGGATAGAGCTCCCGCCTGGTGTTCGGGAGGTCATGGGTTTGATTCCTGTTTGGGACTTAGAATTTTTCTTTGTCTCACGCTCGTGTCATGTTGATTAATTCACCTTCACATTTCATATGATAAATTACTTGTCCTTGTTGTTTGATCAAGTTCGCAACTAACAAATAGCCAGACAGAAGAGGATAGATAGGCTGGCTGACTACACGGAACTGACTGGCTGACTAACAGATAGACAAAGAGAGTGACAGACTGACGGACAGACTGGAGGATGCACAGAGGACTGGCTGGTTACTGAACTGAGCTGCACTGAAGGACAGACAGAGAAATGGAAAGACATATCACACAGACACAAAATAATACAGATGGACACCAACCTAAGCAGAGTGAAGAACCATCTGCCTAATTTCATTATAACTGACTTTATAAAATCCAGGAAATTTCAAGCAAAGTCACATGTCTTACAAGAGCCAAATACCTTAAAACTTCCTGGGTTTTCAATCACATCTGGCAACTGGGACAGACAAATATCAACAGCTAAATCCCACGCTTGCCTACCAGGCAAAAAAGGGGGAAGAACATTCATTACATCTGTAAAGAGCATCTCTGCACTTCAACATATCAGCGCTTAATGCTATTACCATGAAGAAAGTAATATTTACAGAAAGCCTCAGGACAACGATATTCTCCGGACTACATTCTATTTCTTCCATTCACCACCACCTTGAGAATGGGTTAATTATCCCAAGAAATCCAGTCTGGAGAGGAAGGGGGTTTAGTGGTCATGGAAATCTGGGCAGGAGGGGGTAAAAAAACTTTGCTGTCAGTCAGGAGAGTGTGGAATTTTTACTGGAATAACCCACTAGAACTCCTGCCTCCTGTGCACTCGCCTGCATGCAGATATCTACTATTATCTTTCACGCATGAAAGGAAATAGCAGACGTCTGAGAGCAGGCTACTCTTCTTCCACTTCTTGCAGACATGCCCCCCTCTACGTTACAGGTATCTGCCCCCTATACCACCCCACTCTCAGAGTATTCCCTTGACTCACCACATCGGATGCATGTAGGTAGGAGGAAGTCTGGGACTTGACACAGGTGTACAGTTGTAAGATCTCATCACTCTCTCTGCGAGAAGGAAATTCCTGAACAAGCTTGCGACTAGCAGATCCTGCCTGAACAGCTTGTGGAAGAGCTCTACAAGACAAAACAAAAGAAAAAATGACATATTAAGAGACAACTCAAGGGATAGGGTGTATCAACTACATGTAGATGCCATGGTATGACACAAGTATTAAGCTTCTCTATCAAGAGTGAGAAACAGCAATGGGAGTACAAGCATAATTAGAAATGACTGTTCAAACACTGATTTGACAACTTAAAATTTCAACATTTATTCATGTCTGAAATGATATTATATACCTCTCGGCAACATGTTCCAAGCAATGGTGTCAGTTACAGCAGTAAAAATCCAGTTCAGCTCTCCTAACGGTGTTCTTCTGTCATTAAGTCGACCAGGAATCCTGCAAAAAAAAACACATCAATGAATCAGATTATTATCAATGGAATTTAAATACTTTGAGACAATGTTATTTATAATGAAATTTATCAGCACTCCAAATTGATACTGGCTTTTTCATTAATTTTTTTTAAAAAAAAGCAAAACAACAACAAAAAAAAGAAACAAAAAACAAAACAAAACAAGAAACCACTCAGACAATAACTGCTAGAGGCAAGAAGATAGCCAACACATCAAACTCAACCAACAAGATACCAGCACACATGTTGCTGTCTAAAAGAACAAGATCAGTTAAAATATAATGCCTCAACAGAAACAGGGGACCTTTCAACGTGGTGTAAGAATCAAGCAATAGTGGAAGTCCTACATCCCCCATGGAACAAAGTGGTTACTAGATGATGACTAGCAAAAATGTAGTGTGATATCTGCCCAAAATTGAGCATGGCTATGTGTCAAAGCCTCAAAATGCTCTGCTCTTAACTTTCTGTCATGCATTTTTGAAATAGGACAAACACAACACAAGAGCTTTGAAAGAACAGAATTTAAGGGGCACCTTCTGTTACATGTCATTCAAACGGGACAATTTACATGGTACATGTGGATACACAGGTAAGTACATGTACTGACAAGTACATAGGTTAACGAAGCGTCAAACTTACTTTTCTATAAGTTCCAGAGTAACACCAGGAACAAGCTTGCTACTTTTCTGGCTACAAAACCTGAAAAAAATTAAGGTACCCAATTTCAACAGGAATCCATTGAAAAATTAGAGATGCTGTACAGTTACAGCAATAAGACCCTTGGATGCAAGTTCAAGGTTGGCACGCTGAGAGACCGGCCACCCTGCTTAGTATGCCCCTCAAATCCCTTATAGCGACTCACCATCGTAAGGCCACCTTGATAGGTGTGCTCAGGCAGGAAGTAAAGAGGTCGGCAGGTAGGTCTGGGTTCATTGGTAACAGCTGGTTTGCATCACATGACGCCAACTGGATACAGTTCTTGACAGCAAGTGGAACTGGCATAGGGGTACCCTGGGCCAAGCAACGCTGAAAATATATAATATTATTAGATTACAGGTTAATTGGAGTTAAACTTGCCTAGTTCCAAGGCCCTTTTTGTTTGTTGCAGTCAATCCCTTTTGGGTCACATGATCCCAACAAAAAACAGCACCCAGACAAAAATGCAAATTCCTGCGCAGATTTCATATGGAGTAATGGAATCCTCTTTGCATTTCAGAGAGAGTGACCAAGTTAAATCACTCAACTGGATCAAAACTGACATTACTTCAAGTCAGATGCATTGGTGCTTTCGGGTTCAAAAGTAGCTTTCTATTTTATTTAACTGATAATATGAAGTCCTGCCATGCAATTCCTTTGCTCAAAAATGCCACAGAACCTACAAGTCTAGGAAAAAAATTGTTTGAGGTTAAAAATGCAGTGTTTGTGTGTTGCTCAGACAATGGCTGCATCCAGTTACAATGTAGGAGAGGTGTCAGACTATGTGAGATGACAGTTTGTTGTACATGTACATTGTAAATGTGAATTCACCTCCTGTTCCTGTTCACGCTGAGCAGCAAACTGAATGAATGATCGGACAATGAGTCCAGCATTGTTACAGTCATAAACAAAGATCGATGGACTTCCCATCCATGTTTGTAGGTCATACACTGACAGTGGAATGTACTGGGTGTAGCTCTGTTAAAAAAACAAAAAGGAAAAAAAATAGAAAAAAAAACTCTATTTAGTCAATAAATTTAATGAAATCACACAATGGTTGGGACATCAAAACTACCAATCCAGTTTCTCATACAGAAAATAATTAACCCTGTAAATATTGGAGGTATGTATAACTTCTGCAACGCAGGCTAAAACTACCCTGTCAAAATTAAAGAAGATAGACAATGTACAGTACTTACTTTGTTGAAGACCCAAATCTCACCATTGGCAGTTGCTCTTGGAACTCCATGCCCATTATAATGAAAGAGCACTCTCTCCTCCTGCAATGTGAACAAACAATGAAATAATGGCCCACTTCTTCGTGTATGGTTTTTTCCACTCAGTTTGCCACTTTAAATTTGCATCTTATTTTTCGCTTATCATTCACATAATGTAAGACGAAACTAGTGTATATTGGCCACAAGGTACCAGTCGATACATACATTATAATACATGCAATATCAAGTACATGTACATGTTTTGTAAATTTCAGGAAGTCACTTGCCAAGGGAGAAAGTACTAGCATAAACAAAACAAAATTATCCCTGTTACCTTTCACTTCCTTGAATGTTGGTTCTAAACATTTGGTGGTACAGTGTACATGCACAACATATTAAAACTGCTAACGACCTAATGACAATTTCAAATTGTAGTTTAGCTTTTGACGCATATCAGTCACTCGAAGCCATTCTGGGTGACTAAGCCTTTCTTTAAATGGTCTACTGAACATGTCCAACACACAGTAGAGATTTCCAAGAGGTATCTTCTCGGTCCATAGTGTAGGTTAGGGATCAGTACGGACCGCAAGCTCGGTTAGCAAGAGGTACATAATATTATATAAGTTTCAAATGAGCAGCACCTTGGCATTTCGACGCAGTGAGGTACAAAGTTTCTTCACCTCCTCAACTGTGGGGTCAAGACTCTGCTTATAGCGTGCCTGCCAAGAAAAAGCATATCACTTCTACCAGTCGCTCTCAATACTTACAAAAGAAACATGGATTGAAGCTATTTGGTACAGGCTAAGAGATGTAGAGAAACTCTAGGGATGGACCATTATTCTTTGTGGGGTATACATTTTTTTCTCACCTTTAGGTTATGCATGATTTTGTTTAGGGGGCAATAGCTTGGGCAATAATTTTTTTAAAGTGAAACACAGGACTTGGATATAATAACATTTTACTATAAATTATTTATAGTAGAATTGCTCGCTTTTTTCCCCATGGCTGCCCTTTTACAACTAGACTTTAGTGACACATACGAGCAGTGATCAAACAGTGTCAGTTGGGGAGCAGCGATGGCACAATGGTGAAAACACTATCCTCCTGCCAATGTGACGTGGGTTAGAATTCTGGCATCACAAGTGGGCTGAGTTTATTGTTCGCTTCTTGCCTTGCCCCAAGCATTTTTCTCTGGGTTTTCCAGTTTTCATCCTCTAACAAAAATAAACACTTTCAAATTCCAATTTGATTTTGAAACAGTAGACGAAGAGCCTCTCCATGACAGGATGTGCCACTGCAAATTTCTATTTGTTTATTTAAGACAACTTCTGTTCAAATTTCGAGCAAGTGCAAATATTATTTCATTGAAACCTACTCATAGCACGGTAACTTTTGGAATACTATTTTAAAACAACTCACTTTTCAATTAGTTCATTTCTCTAAGTGACTGTGCGATTAAATTCTCAAGCATTCTCAAATAAGTTTATGTCAAACCTTATAAGAATGCTTAAAGCATGCGTTATTGTGTTTTTAACTAATGCGAAATGTCTGTTTTAATTGAAATACGGATAACTTCAGGTTCAATTTTCTCTCACGGGGTCAGCCTGAGAGCCAAAGTCTAGATAAGTTCTTCTTAACTGTATTCAAAATATTACCACGCCATGAGGTTTTTTTGGTAACTTAATTCTTGCCATTATTACTCTAATGTTCTGCAGAAACCCTCTTAACTATTTGTCTAATTTCTTTTAGAAGGGAGGTAGATTCAAAATCCAATCAGAAGCACAACAGCTTCAGCTGCCTTTGAATCAAAAATCTACATGTACCATTCATCCTGTAACTGACATGGTCTGATAAATAGTTTTATGCATGGAACTCAAGTATGTAACTGTCATTCTTAACTATCTTAAAAGCTCAGTTAAATTCTAAGAAATATCTCCTCACCCTTGGCTGCCAGCGTTCATACTGTTCCTGAAGTTTGTTGCCAACAGTTTCTAAAGCTTTTTGTGGACCCATTGAAAGAGGATCTGTTACGAAACACAAGACACACTCACATATTAATATTGTGAAAATCATGACTACAAACAGCCCTGCCCACTAGTTTGAAATATTGCAACACACAATCCAGTTACTTATAAGAATATAGTTCTTGGTTCATACCTACAAAATATTAATAGTCCTGCTTTTTTTTCAAGTCACAATGATACAAAGAATGGTACCGGTGTGGTCCCTTGATGTCTTCTAGGATTAGGAGGCAACATTTTCAAATCCCCACCTACACCTTCCATATGGCATCTAACTCTCCACTCCAATACCAACCACAGATGTCAAATCCCCCCGTCGAGACACATCAACAATTCAAATGCCTGAGCGGAGGGATTTTGATGTTTCTATTTGATCGATACATTACCATTCTGCAGTGCCCACTTTTCAATGTAAAAGCGATATGAATTAAGAATATCACACAATTAGAATGCCGAAAGAAAAATGTAGAGCATACTCTTTTCAGGTCTTGTTTAAAGTGCAGCTACAGTGGTTTGCTCACACAAAAAAGTCCTTTATTTATATAACCAAGAGGTGCAATAAGCTCAATGCTCTTAAACAGGACAGATGAATTTGCATATTATGAGCTCATACAACCCATTCCAGAAAGTACGTTTTTCGTGATAGCGTGATCTATATTTGTACAAATTGCAAGACATATTGTCAACAATCCACTCGACACGAAGCAAGTACTATATATTAGTTGGACAGGAAAAGTTATGTAACTCCCCAAAATACGCAAGTGCAAGACGTACTAGAGCTTTGTTGTTATCCATTCCGATCATTACGATTAAGCTTTACCCAAAAATTGATTCACTAGCAATTAAAACGCACATGTACTGTACAACTGCGAGTTCGTGTGTTCAAAGTGAAAGAGTTAACAACAGCTGAGGTGGATTTCGCTCACCCGGAAAACACATGTCTGTCAAACAAAACGAAAATGAAACCAATGTTATCATGAAAAGTTATTTGACTGACCAATCCAGCACTCCATCCGTGCACATGGTGAGGTTTTAACCACATCAGGAGGGTCGACACCAATGTTCAAGCATAAGACGAGAGCCACGCTCACGGTCTTCATCTGGAACAAAATTGCCAAACATGAGAATCAGGTAAATAGCGTCGATACTTTATTTTAATTAAAGGAGAGCTGGACAATGGCTCGATCACTCACTCGTTCTTTCATACGCCATGTCTGAGCCAGTGGTCTCGATCCTTCGATCACCTCTTTGTGGCGTTTTTTCATGAAACATAGTGGCAATTGCCAGTCAACTATTTCGCCTTCGTCCTCATCGCAAAACAAATCGTCGTAGTCGAAATCGTCCGTTGACATCTTAGAAGCCTTTAATCACTCAATAATAGAATTTGAGGCTCCAGAAATTGAACAACATCCATCTTGAACGGCTTCTGCTCTCGTAAATTCAAGGGGACGTGAAAAGGGAAACACAACGTGTTCAGCCGCCGGCCAAAAGTTGCGCAACTGCGCATGCTTATGTTTATGTTTTCATCGCAATGAAAATACCGCGGGCCCCGTTTGTCGCTTTCTGTTTCAAGTAGATTCAAGTGTCACGAAGCGAACCAACCAATGGATTTCGTTGCTATATTTCAACACACGGTTATCATTTTGCCGTCATCCAGGGTAGGGAGTGGAGTGCACTACCCTCATGCACAATCGAATCAAATGCTACTCAAATGGAAGATCACAAAATTATTTTATTGTTCTATAACTGATTTATTTCAACATTCTATTTCACAATTCAGTTTATAAACAGGGACCCTATTGTCTGATCAAGGGCATGTATGACCACATGCCGAAGTGTGGGGATCACGAGATTTTTCACTGTCATTTTCTTGTTCAGAATTTGTTTTCTTTTCGTCTTTGTATGTTCGATTTTTTTCCCTTATCCTTCTTGAAGAAGGCCAGCAAAACTGACCGAGACGACGGACCTCAGTGTTTGAACAGACCAGTCCCGAAAAACATTTTTTCAGTTAGAATTTGTTTTACTGTATTTCCTCGCATGATATTAAGTCTCGACTATAAAAATGTCAGTCATCGATTATTTTGCATAGAGGTTGTTCACCTGGCGGAAAAAAAGAACTTTTTTTTATTATTCCAGCAAAATACGTGACCATCGAGGGTGGTAATCTTGGGTGCAAACACCAGCAGGGTTATCACGAGGTTTCCTTCCGAATTTCCGCTTTAACTCGCCACCGAGACTCGACTGAAAATCAAAGATCATAATCTAAAGCCTACAGGGCAAAACCGCACTATCCTGAGACGACCTTTTCTTCTTTCAGAGAAAAAGTAATCAAGGCCACTCTCACAGACTAATTTTCATGCTGAGACAGCATTTCAGGATTTTCTAAAGCTGAGGTTATTGAAGTGGATTAGGATCTTGCGTTATGCAGTGATATACGCAAAATTTCAATTACTTTATAACTTTTTTCTTTCTTGCCTGCATGTGAATCATGAATAGACACGCGAGCATGACATGTTTGGGGTTGTTTTCCATTGACAAGACATTTTACGGAACTTCCAGCTGGGAAGGAAATTTCCAATCGAAACGGAACTTCCGAAGAGGTAATTCTGTTCTCCTGTCGGACCGTTCCAAATGGCTTAATCGCATCGCCTGCAACAGTTCCAAGCCTTCGGTTATCACGGACATGCCAGATTTCCTGGATCAACCAGAATGGCGGCCGCCGTTCTTTTTTCCTGGAAACTATCTCTTGATATCTCGCCTGACTCAAATCATTTTCACTTGATTTGCTTTTTCAGTCGAACCTCCGCCATCTCAAACTGTGTTTCATTTCTCTTTTAGTGTAGCAGCGTTCAACTGCAGTCTGTTTACATGCCTACTCCCAGGGGGGGGGGGGGGGGGGGGGG